GGGAAAAAAGGCGCGGCTTATAGTCCGAAAATTACGGTACTTGAAAAACTAAAGTGAAACTTGATTTATTATATTGCAGTGTCTGATTATTATATGACACTTTAAAATACTACTATCCTACTAAAATGTTGTAAAAATCAGATTTATCATTTAATAAAGAAAAAATAATTCAAGTAAAAAAAAAAAAGCACATTTGTTTCCCTTTATTTTTCAATATCGCGATAAATATTGTACCGTGGGCTTTTTATCGCGATATTATCATACCGTGAGTTTTTGGTATCTTTACAACCCTATAAGTTAGTCTAAATAACCTGGCACANTATTTAATAAAGAAGAAAAAAAAAAAAAATCACATTTCTTTTCCTTTATTTTTCAATATCGCGATAAATATCGTACCGTGGGCTTTTTATCGCGATATTATCATACCGTGAGTTTTTGGTATCTTTACATCCCTATAAGTTAGTCTAAATAACCTGGCACAATCATTTATTTTGAGTGTTTTATACAAATCCCTTTTGTTGGATTGTTTGTCTTATTAACTCCTAATAAAATTATTGTTTCACAAAGGTTCTCAAACAGCTTGGAACTGCAAATTACAAAATATTTTATAATAATATTTACATTTTCTATACATGTGCTGCACACCAAAAATAGCAAACCAATGCAATGCCAGAACATGTAGTGGTGAGATGTATTAACACTATCTAAAAGTGGCCCATGTGACACATTGATTCCTATCGGACCAGTTATTTCATAAGGCGCGTTCACACCGCAGTACTTTTCCCACTTTAGTTCCGATATAGTTCCGAAATGTTGCGTTCACACCAAAAAAATCCGGAACTAAAATTACTTAATGAGAACCTTTTTNNNNGTGTGCCTTGGCAGTCTCGCGTTCACACCGCAGTACTTTTCCCACTTTAGTTCCGATATAGTTCCGAAATGTTGCGTTCACACCAAAAAAATCCGGAACTAAAATTACTTAATGAGAACCTTTTTACCCCTTTTTGCTAGAGAGCAGGTACTTTCGTGGGAGAAAAGGTTCCTATTTCTGATTGGCTGGGGGACTTTGGATGGCAGTATACGCCTTGAAGTTGTTTGCGGCCTGCCAGTAAACCCAAAGCAGAAGAAGTGACGTCAGCGGCTTAATTTGCCTAATCCTCCCTCAGGGACTTATTCCGGTGTGAACGTGATCTGTACTTAGTGCCTATAGCATATGTTCCCTGTTTTAGTAGAGTGTGTCTTAGTGGTGTATTTACATATTTACCTTATAAGATGGCAGAAAGCAGAGGACACCCTTGGCCACGACCTGGCAGACATTGAGCAGCAGCGCCCCCACCTCATCCTGGAAGGCGTACGTTTCAGTGTGTTGGAAGGTGGCGAGGAGCTTTCTGCCTTGGGGTCCTGAACCAATAGTGCCCACCCAAACCTGAATAGAGAGTTTTAGCAGTGTAAATGTCATATCACCAATATAATTCACATAATACATACATCCAGAGATTATTAAGGGACAAAACAACAATATCTCCAGGAATTAGATACAGTACATTGCAATACAATGGTTAAACTGTGACATCTGCTGGACAAAACTGGCACTGTGACAGATGTGCAGCATCAATTGTAAAAGTTTCTGCTTGCCAGAAACCTTGGGATTTCCAGACTATCATCATGCACAGAAACCTATACAACACAATGCAGGAAAGGGAAAATCCAAAAAAGCATAGGACCCTTTTAAGACCTGGATATCAAGTTTACTGAGACAAGTGGAGATAATCATACAGCGTTTTCTAAAATGGAGCTTTAGGGATGCTTAGGGATATCAATGACTCATGAGGATGGAGGTTTATGACATCAGATAGTTATATGATTAAGCTAGACATCCATGAATCAAGCAGTTACATTTTTTTTTGGAACAGTCCCAAAACATATCCACTGCAAGGTGGCAAGTGGCTCAGTGTCATCGGTAAACCTACTGACCTGGGACTTGTTGATAACATGGTTGGCCTCCAGCTGGATGGTGAACTTCACTCCAAGTTCAGAGGAGAACGAGCCCATTGGTGAAAGGGTTCCTGATGTCAGCACAATGCTGTGCACAGACTTTCTCAAGTCAGAGAAAGCCTGGGAGACGCAGATAGACAATACTGTAAATCTCCAAGAGGTGGTTCTGCTGACAAGTATGCCATAAACATATCAAAATATACAATAATAGAGGATAGGTAGGAATTGAAGAGCTAGAAAATATAAAGGCTTTAACATTTGTTTTAATTACATATTTAACTAGCATTTTGCAGGTAGCCTTGACAGGGTGGTGTAGGAATGATTCCTAAACCCGTGAAAGGGTTTCATTTTAGTACTTTGGGGCTCCATTGTCTTGTCTGAAAGCCTTTAGCTTAGCGGTATTGACGTTAAGTCATGCGACTGTTATGTAGTTTGTACATTAGCATAGCTTTAGTTCTTACAAATCCATTTGGGCTTCAACTATTATAAAAGAGGTGTTCATTTGTGGAGATTATCCTGATGAACCAAATGTGTAAGTATCATAAATGCTTGTTTCCACTGATCCTGAACATTTCGATTGGCTTTTAGTCAAGAGCCCTTGCAATGCTAACTTTGGTGTTGGCGTAGAAAAATGTCTCATTACTACACAACCCATTTGAGTAATAAATCAGTGTGCAATCTCAAAGCTCTCACCACAGCAGGGTTGAGGCACCAGAAGCTGAGTGTTAGGACTTCTGCCTTGACTCGGGCACTCAGGCGTTGTCTTTGGCGAGGCCGAACAAAAAAGCCATGGGCATCAGGGACATCAGGTGGGACCTGGTTCGTCCAAGCGTAGCTCTTCTGCAGAGCTACCCGGTAGTCTTCAGCAAAGCTACAGACACAAAGAAAACTGAGTGGTCCTTCCATAACCTGTACAACTGTTAATGTGAAGCATGATTTTGGTTTAGCTGACTTCTTTGGTTTGCTTCTGACCTGCAGTTGTCCTCAGAAGAGAACATGAAGCCTAGCACCATGAAGAGGTTTTTGAGGACAATGGAGGAGGCTGAGCTAATTGTTGGGAGCTGAACCATATCCTCTTTTCCATTGACCACACCAACACGCTCCTCCTTCTCTAAAACTGCTGCCAGGTTTTTCTGTCACAAGGAAAGACAGTGGAAGAGATATTTGGTTTTAGATATTCTGGAGTATTCGACAGTGCTTGAGGCTTAATGTGAGCATTTGAACTGAATCGAATAATAGCAATGTAAGGTTGTGGAGAAGCTCAAACATGAAGAGATTATGGATGTCATAATACGAGATTTTCAGTTGTTCAGTTTTGGTCCTCATGACAGCTCAACAACAGATAAAGCAAAGATATTTTGGTGTACCTTCAGAAGGCTGAAGGTGTCAGCAGTGATGCCAAGGTTGTGAAAGATGCCCAGTACATCCTTCCCATTCCAGACTTTACTGGCAGTCTCATATCCTCGTTCAGACATCAAGCCTTGGCTCTCCTGGATCCAGCTACAGCATGGACAAAAGACATATTCAGCAAATGTCTTGTCAAAAATATAAAAGCAGACATAAGCAACATGAAGATACTAACTTGATCAAGCTATAGCAGAAGTTCCTGAGTGGCTCGTGCTGGGATCGTCTGATGTTGATGTTGACCATGCCGTCAAGCTCGTCCCTACATGCCAGCAGACTGCTGTGGTCTAGATTAAAGCTAGAACTCTCCCTTGCACAGTCCTCGATGTTGTGGGCCTCGTCCAGAATCACAATCTGACCAGTCAGGTCAATCTCCATCTGGAAAAATTAAGATTCAAAGCAAGAGAGGAAGAAGAAAGAAGTAAACTTCCTGTTGTTCCCTTCCTTTGCACCTTTTTTCCCCCAACGGTCCTACATAATTATCACCCTGTCTTCCACACTCTACTTACACTCTCTCTGATCATTGGGTCCAGCAGGTAGTTATATGGACAGAAGACGATGGAGGCATCCTGCATGAGTTCTCGTGCAGCGTAGTAGGGGCATGAGCGAAGGCGTTTACCCAGTGCCACTATGTCCTCAATGTCCCAGGCTTCAGAGAGTCCGTGGACCCGCTGCAGTGAACACTGATCCCGCATCCTTTGGACACCGTGGTAGTAGCGGCATGATTTACCCTGTAATTTACATTGCAGCATGCCATGGGTCAGAAAACGTTTAGTTTGACGAGACACATATTACATACTATTTATTTTTTTACTTTAACTTAACATTACACAACAAAGGTATTGTCACTGGTCCACAAATCCATGGATCTCAGCTTTAGGAATGAGTTCCTGGAACTAAAGTTAGAGTCTACTCAAGAAGTGACCCTGAATGCCACCTCCAGGCACTTTTAAGGGTTGCATCAAAGCAGCGTTTCCGCCAGGGGGCCGTCTTGCCGTCATTTGGCGGCCTTATTCAGCTCGGGACGCCCTGAACTCGAGCCGAGGACGTCCAAAAATATTAATAACTCGAGAGAAGATCGAGAGTTTTTATCGCTTGAAATTACGAAAAGGAAAAAGGACAAGGACATCCCTCTGTTGGAGGGGCAAAGGAGTCTGGTGGAATTATTTTCGGTGTATTGAAGATCGCTTCCCCGACATCGAAGGTGCCTGCTACAGGACAACACGGAACGTGCTTGATTTGCACACGATGAGCGGGGGGGGTTTTAGTGGAGCACACGCGTGAGCTGCGAGCGCCGGAGCCTCGCAGCAGCGAAACTGAGGCTCCGTGGTAAACCGGCTCACTAAAGTAAAAAGACAGACCCCGCTCTCGGGGTGGACGCCCTCTCAGCCCTGGTCTGGCGGAAACACTGCATCAAAGTGAATAGTAAATTGTCAAGAAGATGTGTCATCACATCACAAAAAAGATGACTGTCTGACCTCTGGGTTTTTCAAAGTGTTAATACTTTTGCTTCAAAATAAATAAAACGTGCCAATAATGGGATTTTTATTTTTGTCCTTAAAGCTACATTTGGAACATTTTTTATATATTTACTTTTTTTATAATCTTTTTGTAGATGTATTTATGTTATATGCTATGCACTTCTTTACATCAGCTGAAGTTATCATTTTATGCCAACTGTCGGTCGAGCAACAGCAGACTTCTTAGAATTTGGTGAGTAGGTCATAAGGACCTACTCACGATTTAAAAAAAATAAAATAAAGAAATATGTTGCAAATGGAGCTGATGTGATGCAAGTCAAATTTCTGACTTGATCTTACCATTAAGGTATTCAGATCGTAAGAACAGAGGTCGCATTAACCAAATACTGTCCCCCTCCTCCAGCAGTATTGCTGATGCAGAAGGAGGAACTTGTTACAGGAGCTCATTCCCACGAAGCAAGTGTTTTTCAGGAATGGGGAATGCAGCCCTACATATAGAGTCGTGCCAACTTATAATCAACTTTAAAAAGTCTCCAGTGTTGCAGAGGAGCGCCACAGGTTCAGCCAACAGAACAAAACTAAAACACTCTCGAGTAAAGTAAAGTTGAGTAAATTGCATTGTTCAAATGAACCTGTTAAGGAACAATGGTCACAGAGTTTTATAGGCTGCTGCTGTCACTGCAGGGAGAAAAATCTTTCATCCCCTTGATGTGTGAAAAGTCTTCCATTTGAGTTTTTGCATAGAAGAACTGACGTGCCAAGGCCTAACTAGCTGTGATCAGGTGTTCCAACCATTGTAGTGCATTACATGCCCGGACACTCATATAGTGAAGTAGAATTAGTGTGAAGAAGAGGCTTCTCATGTACCAAGCCCCAATTACACTGTCAACAGAGAGGTGTCCGCTTCAGATGTCCCACCCTGTTCTTTTATGATTTAACAGCTCGAGGTGACACTGTCAACACAAATACTGTACATCCGTGGACCCGTTAACCTCCAGACACAATAATTATCTCTGAATTAAATGCTCTCACAATGGTGTGCTTAGCCTGGATACTTTGCTGAGGCTGAAACCTGTCCGCTCAGTGAAAGCGGAGTTGGGGAGATTAACAGCCAGGCAGCCACATTTAGAAAAGTGGGGACAGGTTAAAACAGAGTGCAGGTGTTTTGACTGAAGTCGCCGTTATCTGAACGATGTGGTTTTCTGTGTTTTAATCACTGTGTGTCTATACAAAGGTAACCCGATGCTGACCAGACTAGACCCTGAGGTTATGAAGACACAGAGCATCAGTCACACCCACTCCAGTTAGAGGTTATGACTCGGGCCAGCCATTTCATATGACAAAGTGAGACAATTGCCATAGGAGGCAAACACCTCCAATGACAGCATAATTGTCCTTACTGCAGTAGGAGCCTCAACTAGAGGTCAGTAAGGGGACAACAACTGTCTCGTGTCTCTAAAAAAAAGCTCAATCAATGCTTCCTGACATTTTTGTGTTTTAAAAAAAAAATGGTTGGGACAATTGTGAATATTGTAGCAGCATAATTGCTGCTCAGAGGCTACATTGTTGAAGGAGTTTTTTTCTGGTAGTGGTAGTAACCTGTGGGTTTATGTTACAGGTGTTCAGTCATTTTTTGAGAAATCAGCTGGGATCAAAGAGTTGGAATACAATGTTGAGTTTGTTTAATGTTCACCAGTAGATTAATGTTTCATTCCTTGTAGAAAGTGTGTGTCATAACCAGCTGAATGCAGGTTAATTGTAGTTCAATAGAGTCCAATTCAGGTCAAGAACAAGTTTTTAGTGAAGCAAAGGGGTGCAAAAAAAAACGGGGGGTTGAAATGGCCTTACTATGAAAGGCATACAGGTTGTGACCGTTATGGGATAAATGTCACATGACAAAACTATGGCCTGAACTTTTTTGGGGGGCCGATACCAGCATTTGAGATGTTTCTCTTTTCACATAAGCATATCAAATAAACATGAGGTTTGACATTAGCTAAGTAGTAAGGGGCACATTTAACAGTTAAAAAACGATGTAATAGAGATACGGTCATGTGAATGTTTGTGTGTATGCAAGTGTTCATGCTCACATCTTTAGCCTCCAGTAGATCCCTGCAGCGTTCATTGCGGTTGGAGTGAGGCACCACTTCTGGATGGACACATGTCTGATTTCTGCTGGATAAGATGGTCATGGCCACGCCGGAGTAAACCGTGCGCTTCAGCTCATGGGCGATCTGAGTTATCTGCTTATGAGTGCGAGTCCCAAAGAAGATCTTAGGAACCTTCTTTTTGCCATCTTTGGCTTTGTCCTTCACAGCTTCTTTGGTTGACGCACACGGGCACAGGATGCAGGGTTCAGGGGACTGGAAAGAGAAAAAAGAGGAACAAATAGTGAGAGGTAGTACGCAGCTAGTTTTAAACATCTCTAATTAAATCTTAATCCATGAGCTCGTTTGCACAATACCAGGGACTGTCAATTTTGCTGATGAAATGTTAATTTCTTATTAGGCAAACTCCTTCCCTTCCAAATTCTTTATTTTTTATCATATACTAATCAACACCTTCAATTAGTGAAACCCCTGCAACCATCTGAGGGGAGATAAGGTGATAAATCATATGTGACATGCTCTATCGAAATCAGTCGCATTGACCCGAAGACACATGTTGAGTTGTATACACTGCTGGAAAGAGGATATTCCTAGCTTTCTAATGATATCAGGATTGTTTTTGTACTCCAAATATTAAGCAAAATATGTCACATTATATAATGACTGTCACCGAGTCATCATTTTGAGAAAAAGGCCTTCAAAGTTTTCTCTTCTCTGGAATCCATCGATCTGATTGATTATTAGCAAATGATCAAAATACTAGGCAGGGAAGATATTTTCGTTTGGATTACTGGTCTGGGGGAAGCTCGCGAGTCTGTATGTATGTGTGTGTGTGTTTGTGTATTTTTGCGTTTGTGTGGATTGCGTTTGTTTCCCGGGGAAAACACTCACGAGAAACACCGGCTGTTGTTATGCCTGCTGTGACGTTAAGTTACTCCGTTCTCCGCTTGTAATTATGGCGTTATAAACTTCAAAGTTGTATTTATCATCTGAATTTGCCGAAACAAGTTTAATATTCTGAAAGCCAAAACTTTGTTTATTTGAAATCAGATGAAAACAAACTGTAACGGACCCTGCCGTGTTATCTATGATTACTATACGCCTTACATTCATAATTTCAGCGGAGGGAGGAGGAGCTGTGCCGAGGAAGAGCAGAGTGTCGAGTGAGAGCTGTCATCTTCCCTTTACAAGCTTGAAAAATGTATTTATCGTGTGATTTTGGAAATAAAAGTTTCATATTCTGAAAGCCAAGACTTTGTTTGTTTAAAATCAAACAAAACACCCGATCCCCGAAAAACTAGTTTTTTATGCAAATCCACGTTTATTTTGAAATGAGCCTTTGCGAATTCCAAGTGATTTCGATAGAGCGGGTCACATACAGGACTGTCTCAGAAAATTAGAATATTGTGATAAAGTTCTTTATTTTCTGTAATGCAATTAAAAAAACAAAAATGTCATACATTCTGGATTCATTACAAATCAACTGAAATATTGCAAGCCTTTTATTATTTTAATATTGCTGATTATGGCATACAGCTTAAGAAAACTCAAATATCCTATCTCTAAATATTAGAATATCATGAAAAAGTATACTAGTAGGGTGTTCAACGAATCACTTGAATCGTCTAATTAACTCGAAACACCTGCAAGGGTTTCCTGAGCCTTGAAAAACACTCAGCTTGGTTCAGTAAACTAAATCACAAGTATGGGGAAGACTGCTGATCTGACTGCTGTCCAGAGGACCGTCATTGACACCCTCCATCAGGAGGGTAAGACACAAAAAGAAATTTCTCAAAGAGCAAGCTGTTCACAGAGTGCAGTTTCAAAGCACATCCACAAAAAGTCTGTTGGAAGGGGGAAATGTGGCAGGAAACGCTGCACAACCAAGAGAGATGACCGCAGCCTTAACAGCATTGTGAAGAAGAGTCGCTTCCAGAATTTGGGGGAGCTTCAAAGACAGTGG